TTTTTTTTTTTTTTTTTTTTTTTTTGATAAGGGTAATGGTTAGGAAGTTAGTATGAGTTAGTTATTAGCAACTGGGATTCCCAAAACGGTGAACATTCCACCCCCTCAAATGAGGCGTGATACACTAAAATCACCCTAGCAAATGTACTAGTCGCTCCAAGTAATATAATAATGAATAGAGTGTCGAACCCACGAGGATTGTGTCTAATTAAGTACCAAAATAATTAATCTAAATTTATTTGAACAATCAAATAAGAAGAAACTTTAATTGAAAATAATAAAAAGAAAATAACAAATAAACCTAAGCAAGATAGGAGGTACTAAGGCATTGACTTCACCATAATCAATCAATATAAATTTTGGATTACCAAATTGTTGAGTGTTATTGCATGTGATGGTGGATTTCCCTAAATTAATTAACTAGCTTTCTCAAGTCAAGTTAATCCTTCACTGGTTTGTTAAATTAATTATATCTCTATGTAATTTTAAACAAACTAATGAGCATTAGATTCTATGGAAACCTCTAGTTTAAGAAGGGGGAGCTCCAAACTCTCTTCTCTTCCTCCACTACCACATGTGAGCTAATTACCTCTCGGTCTCATAGTCTAGCACACGGTTTATATTATTATTGGTCTAATCTACGCAATTCTTTCTCAAATTCATGCATAAATCACTAAATCAATCAAAAAGTGATCAGGCTTCCAATGCATTAAGTTCAATAATATAAACTCCTCATGCGAATAACTTTAATTGAAAGTATAAAATCACAAAATCTATATTGAATTGATTAGGCTACATCATAGCCTTAATAAAATAAATTAGTTCATCATAAAAATAATAAAATCTGAAATCACAGTTATGAACATAAGAATGTCTAAGAAAAAACAAAACCTAATTTGAGGTAATTGAAATCCTTGATCTTCTCCTTGATAGATCCTCTATCTTGACCTCTAAGAGTACCCAAAAGAGGGCTGACACCAGCCTCCACAAACTCTCCTCATTCTGAATTTGGATGGGTATTTATAGGATTTTAAAAACCCTAATTGAAATAGAAGTAGGACTTGGAATAGAAATAGGAAACTGAATTTTAGATGCTGATCGCGTGGTGCTGACACTTCAGATTACGTGTTGACACAAAATAGGAAACAGAATCTGATTTTAGACGTTTAGCGCATGGAGTCGACACCCAGATCATGTGTCGACACTACACCCGTGTTGGGTTTCTGGTCTTCTTTTGCAATTTCTTCAATGGTAAAATAGCAGATTTGGTTCTTGACTTTTGGATTCTGCACAAGTTGATCCTCAAGTCTCTGATCTCTTCAATTTACTTCTAAAAAGTAAGATTTCTTCCAATTAAATCCTTTTATACACAAAGAATGAAAACCATGTAAAATCAAACAAAATCATATAAAACTCAACCAAATATCAATAAAATCAAAGTAAAAATTCCTTATTAATATGTATATAAATTTAGCTCATCAAGGCGCGCCACCATTAGACCGCAAATTGATGGAGTTCACGACGATGGCAGGACTAATTCACGACGATGGCAAGGCTCGAAGCCCTAACCTCCGCCTCATCCAAGCCCTAAGGCTTGAGGTCGAACGCTTGGGGGTGAACTATTGGGCCCGATTCGCCATTCGCCGTTCATCTGTCTCATTTAACGTGGTGTCTTTCGTGGACTTGGATTTGTACTATCGGTATTGGAATTTAGATGGGTATGAGTGATTTAGGTTTTGTTTAATAATATTTTTTTGTTGTTTTATTTTTTATTTTTCTAAAAATATATAAAATATTAATTAAAATAAATATTATATATACAATATATTTTATATATTTTTAAAATATTAAAAAAAATTCATAACTACAATTACAAACTAACATCATAAAATTAAGCATTAAAGTGATTTGACATGCTTCTGGGTAATTTGACGTCGGGAGTAGGGACGTGGGGTCCTCCGTGGGCTTTGATTTTTTTTTTTTTTGTGAATTTCGTGGACTTTAATTAGTACTCGCATTTGACGGTCTCTTTATTAACAACGAAGTCATGTTAAAATTCCTCTCATTTGAAATTGTTGTCCATAAGTGGATGCTTTTTCAAATGTAGGAGGATGTCTTTATCCAACAGTAAAGGAACGGGGATCATGTGTTATAACATACTAAAGCAAAATAATTTATTTGGATGGACCTTGACTAAGGCTTACATATATAACATAAGGGCACTCTACCGTCCAACCACACCAAAGAGGTGAGAACAGGGAACATCCTAACAATTATCAATAAATGATCAGACTTCACAACGTGTAAGTGTAAGTGAACTAAATTGATGAAAAGTCATTACATTACTACTTTGTACTAATCTCAAGAACATGAACTAAAGTTAGTAAATGTCATTAAAATTTGTATAAAAGAAGCAATGATGACTAAGAACTTATTTGTAGATTAACAAAATCCATTTTAGAGAATGAAATAATACCGCAATAAAGTAACTATTCGTTGTTTTTGAATTGCGGTTTCATCCAAGCAAAACTACAAGGATCTTCAAATGTCTAGGCCAAGGGTTGATTGAGTAAATGAAAGCAAAATCAACTTTACACAATGACACAAAGGTTAACCAATGGACTGACAAAAAGGAAAACCAACCAGATACGAAATCTGCGACCTTTCTCAGAAATGAGTCCTGATAAAGGGAAAATGTTTTTTTTGAAAACAATGATGTCGTTTTCTACAAATCAAATGGACCCTTAATCTAAATTATCAACGCAACAACACTATAGCTCTGCTCAGGTCCTTCATTTATCTCAAGAATTTAAATTTGCCCAAGAAAGTAAGAACTATCTCATAAAGAGTCACAAGAGAGAAGAAAAGGGCAATGCCAGGTTGTGAATTGAAGAGCTTGAGGAACCGAGGATAAAAAAGCAATTAATTAATGAAAAACCCAAATAATCAGATAAAAATTTGTTTTATAATTTGAATTATACCAAATATTTATTTAATAATTAGTATTGTTTATTTTGATATAACTTAGATTGCACAATTATTTTTATCAAGTAATTTATTTCGGTTAAATCTGAGGACTATCTGACTGGTAAATCATTAATTAAAGCCGCAGCTAAAAGGCCAAAAGAGCTCGTTTTATACCCCTTTTTTTTTTTTTTGCATACTATGCTTTCTAAAAATTAACAAAATACTCTAAATTAGATGGAAAATTGTTCGTGAATGCACGTACAATGTTGAACACGATTTTCAGCCTTTATATCAACTCTTTTTTAAAAATCTTCTTGAATGCCTCCATTCTAACCTGCTTAAGTAAAATAAGAAAGACAAAAAGAAGTGTTTGCATAAATTTTTTAATAAACAAAAATGTATTTGTTGATGTATAAAGTGATAGTTGTATTGTCTTCATGAAGTATGTGGAAGTATGTACATGGAAGTAGTTAGTGCAGTAATGATTATTGTGGGCAATGATAATCAGCAGTTAATCATGTTCGTCTTTCATCATCTTATAATGTTTACAAAATCTAAGTACGTATGTGTTATTGCAGGGAACTAATCGCAAGTACTTTTAAAACACTGAATTTGCAACAAATTCTTGCAAACATTAACTTCCAAAAACTTAAAAATTTGGCTCTCACCGCCGCTACTAGGGTTCTCCCTCTCTGACGTGCAAGCCCCTCACCTAGGTGCTCCTCCCTGTTTTTTGCAGGGCCTCCCTCCTCTCTATTTCTTTTTTTGTTCCTTTCTCCTCTTTTTTCCATGGATCAGACCCGTACAATGGCCTAGAATTATCAAGGCCTTGGACAGACTTTTGCAATTTTAGAGTTGAAAAAACTCTATTTCCAACAAAAGCCAAGTATCATCTTCCTCTCTGAAACAAAGCGCACAGTGGCGGAGATGAATTCGATCCACTCAGATCTAGGGTTTGGTCAGTGCTTTGCTATTGATTGTGTAGGGAGGGGGAGCGGCCTGGCTCTGCTCTGGATAGACGATTTTACCTTGTCTATTTCCTCTTTTTCCCAATCTCATATAGATGTTGAAATTTTCAATATGGGTGGAGGTCAATGGGGACTCACAGGGTTCTATGGACGTCCGGAGGCCGCCCGAAGAAAGGAATCATGGACCCTGTTAAAATCCCTCAAGGCTGCCTCTTCTCGACCAGGTGGGGATCAATGGCAACTCACAGGGTTCTATCTAGGATTTGCACTCGGGTTTGCCGTTGATTGGGTCAACATGAGGGGTGGATTGGCTTTGATTTGGACAAATGTTTTTCGGCTGCACCAATCCCCTGTTTTACAATCCCCTATAGCTATTGCAATTGTTGATCCAGGTGGTTGTCAATGGAGGTTGATTGGGTTTTCTGGTCAAAAGCAAAGGAAAGGATTGTTGTTGGTGAAGTCGGTAGTGTTCTACAAGGGGAGAATGCCACTCCAATCGCAAAAGGGGCTCTTGTTCCCTTATTGAATTTTGGCAACAAGGGCTTGCAGAGGATTGGAATAGTTAGGGTCATGGTTGGGAGCCAATGGCGATGAGGGAGGTGCCTGGGTTTGTATGGAGGACCATGCCCCTCCTGTTGATTTTTCCTCAAGAATAGATAAGGCGGAAACTTGTGGGTTGGGAACTGTTTGTTGCTGGAATCCCTTGCTTTCCCCATGAAGCTGGTTTAATAGGTGAGGAAGTCCAGTAGCTTCTGATGCTCATAATGACTCTCCTTTCTACATTCATAACTCTATTTAGCCCATACAGCGATTGTAATCACAATCTCTAGTTCCAGATGGCTTTCTTTACTTAATTGTCTATATCCATCATGGGCATAGTTTAAATCTGTTACTAGTGCTGTTTATGCTTCTGAATTCTGTCTTTAGAATATGCTGCTTTAGGCTATATTGTCATGAGATGGAGAGTTATATTGTAATTTCTCATTATTTAATATATTTCTCTATTTTCTATCCAAAAAAAAACTTAAAAATTTGAGGGTATCAATTTTTTTGGAGGAGGAAGGCAAGTAATGTTACATAGAGGGTGTTTGACAAATTTTAAAAGTAGTTTACTTAAAATAAATTTTTCTCTTAAGTTTAAAAATTTATTTTAGAAAAATTTAAATATTAAATCTTAAAGTAGTTTTTAAATAAGTTTTGAAAAAATTATGCTGGTAATTTTTTAAAAACACTTGTACAAAAATTAGTTTAAAGTTAGTTTTGAACCTTCTTCTAAAAAAATTAAATTTAAGAGAATTTTTTTTAAATAAATACTTTTTAAATTTACGAAACTCCCTTCTAATCAATTAATCCTCAAGTGGGGACGTTAATCCAATTATTTGAGGGAATGATTTTAATTTTATATTTCTTGAATTTAAACTAGAAATAGATAAGTAATTAATCATGCCCATAGAATATTAGTGTATATTTGGGGACATTTTTTTTTTAATTGTACAATAGGAAGAAATTTTCTTTCTTTCTTTAACTCACTCCACATAAATATCTTGCAATTCAAATTTAAATCTCTTATTTCCATTAAAATTTAACCAAACACCCTTCTATTTCAATTAATCTTCAAAATGGGGGACGTTAATCCAATTATTTGAGGGAATGATTTTAATTTTATATTAAGCAATTAATCATGCCCCTAGAATAATAGTGTATGTTTGAGGAGATAGTTTTTTTCTTTCTTTAACTCACTCCACATAAATATATTGCAACTCAAAATTAATTCTCTTATTTCCATTAAAAAAAGATTACCACTGAACAACTACTTAAGTCGTTGGCCTATTAATATCAAACTTAATTTGCAATGACAAGATTACAACAAAAAAGAAAGAAAAAGAGAATAAAAATGAGACGAGATTGGTATTTCATATTTGGCATTGTTCTGTCACAAAGTTAAAAGAAAAGAGGTTGATTTCAATTGGGAAAGTGTTTTTTTTTTTTCCCCTTTTTTGGATACATAGCTGAAATATATTTAAATCAGAAGAAAGAGGCAGAAAAGAAGAAGAAGAAGAGGAAGAAGATAGAAAGAGAGAAAAAAACCAGAGAAGACTCCATTGGGTTTTACTAACTTCAAAGAAAATTTTCAGCTGAAAAATACTAGTACCAGACACCACTATCCATAATTACTCAATGTATTGGAATCTTACAAGGAATGGTTACATAATGGACAGTGATCGATACACGTTTGGTTTAATACATTGTACAACACACTTATTAAAAAATTATTATTTGTTGGTCTTAAATTAAAAACAAACAAGTTTAAATATATAATCATGCATCTAGGATGCAGGAACCAACTAAATCGATTATATTTATATTATATTTTTAATGATTAAACCAGAAGTATGTTAGAAAATGTGTTGAACTAAGTGTGTACCAATTATTTTCTTTCAATAATACAGCCCCCACAAGAACCTAAACCTGCAACCATCAATAAGGATACTAGATATAAACACCTGAAAAAGAGAATAACACAAAGGATAATGATTCACTTACACTCAACCGTACCACACTTTGTTACACACATTCTTTTTTCTGTTAGCTCCCACACTCCATTAGTCTCCATCCTCACCAAATCCATCTTCCTCCTCACCTCCATTCTCATCCTAATCATCTATAGGAACCCAAGATCAAAACTGTCTTCTTCCTTCTTTTCCCTCCTCCTCCTTTCTTTTTCTTCTTCTTTCCCTCTCCTCCCCTCTTCTTCCTTCTCTTCCCCCTTCTTGGAGAACCTGTGGGTTCTCATGAAGAACCCAAATCTGGGTTCTCGCATGAAATTGGTGACAAATTCTGCTTGTGTGTGGCGTTGTTTTTCTTATGGACTGAATTTTCATGGTTTCAGGTTGAAAGAAAGCTAGGGAGACAATTTATTCAATCCATTCTCATCCTAATCATCTGTAGGAACCCAAGATCAAAACTGTCTTCTTCCTTCTTTTCCCTCCTCCTCCTTTCTTTTTCTTCTTATTTCCCTCTCCTCCCATCTTCTTCCTTCTCTTCTCCCCTCTTGGAGAACCCGTGGGTTCTCATGAAGAACCCAAATCTAGGTTCTCAGAGAACCCGATTTGGGTTCTCCAAGAGAAGCCGAGAGAAAAAAAAAAAGAAAAAAGAAAAAAGGAAGAAGTTGCGGGTTCTCCAAGAGAACCCAAACCTGAGTTCTCTTGGAACCCGATGATGGAGGAGAGAGAAAGGAAAAAAAAAGAAGAAAGAAAGAGGAAGAAGATAATGGATGAAGAGGATAGTGATGAAGTTAAGTGTAATTAATAAAAAACAACGGAAAGGGTTGGGTGTAACGGAGTGTGTGGATAAATTGGGAAAACGTATCATTACCCTAACACAAAACTATAAAAATTTCCAAATATCCAAGTACTTACCGCATAGTGTTCAAGATTTTTCATCCTTCTTGTTGAAGATGTGTTGTTCGAGACAATTGAATCCAAGATATCACATTTGAAACTATGGTATATACCACCAATGTCCAGCACTGTTGAGCTTTAAATTCAACTATGGAGGACAATAACATATTTTTGGGAAAGGACCTATGTAACTGAAACCATCAAAGCATATAACAAACAACCATTACTAACCAATCTCTATAGTACAAGTAGGGTTCCCAACTAGCCAACACCACAATGCCATATTTGGTGACAAATTACAATGAAAAAATCATGCTGGTAATTCCTTTGGTATTTGTAGAGGGCGGTGATAGATCTTTGGGTAAAAATCTACATAACCAGAAACAAAAAACCACAAAACTAATTATTGCAAATAAACAAGCTCTATAATAAGCAATGTGGAATATGGTGAGAGCAAATGCAAATAAGCCTTGTGCAACACTTACAATGGTCAAAATCAAACCATTGATTTGTTTGGTATTTGTAGATGAGCATAATGACCTATCATTGGGATAGAACTTAAGGACCCAAACACTCCAAATCACAGTATCGATTGCCCTAGCTAAATGGTCTTAATAGTTTGATAGGGGAGATTTGACAACAAAAAACGAGAAGTTGGCTAGTGCAATATGTGCATCAGTTGGTACCAAAATCAAAAACACACTGACGATGGTGCTTCTAGTAGTGCTATTTGTAGAGGTCAATGACTGATCTTGTTCCAAATCCAACCAATACTTATCTAACTAGCCCTTGAAATAGAATAGCATAAAACATATGGAAGCAATTATCCTTGTTGGAAACTTCAACTCATAGTAATGGATCCAATGACTCCATGATAAAACTAAATGACCTGAGGTCTATAAGAGGTTGTTATACCATTGGTACACATAGAAGGAAAATTGCAATGCACAACATGGCACTGTGGCTCCTCAAGTAATTATTGTAAAATTTTGCAGAAAGAAGTGTTATAATAAAGAAGGTGAAGTTTGATGTTGAATTTGCCAAGCAGCCACACCTTTTGCAAAAAATTCTGAGTTGGCTTTAAAGCTTTGTATGTACTAGTAGGTCAAGGCCGATATATAACAATAACTGCGTTTTGGACTCTCTTTTATCATATTTTGAATAAATCTCTATATCCTATAGAAGAAATTAATGTGCTGGAGAACAGGGCAAGTTTGCTTTTCAACTTGACCTTTGACCTAAACCTTTGCCATTCGTTATCAAGATGCATCTGGAGACGAGAGGGCTTCTAATAGATTCCTCATCTTCTCATTAATTGGATCTAGCAGAGCTCTAATTGTTGATTCGCAATGCGCCTTGACAGCTTTCCTCTCATTGCTCACCTTTTCTTCAATCTATTCCTATAAAAATGTTACCCAAAGATAAGACTATTGTTCATTGTCAATTGCAGATGAAACCTAACAAGATCCTCACAATTTTCACAATGTGGCAGCGCAGTTGAATCTCTCATACCTTCCACCGTGAAGAAAGATGAGAAATAACTTGCAACACAGATGATTCATTCCTCTAGTCCAAACTGGTGAAGATAGCGTGTATTGACAAATTATATGATATATTTATAGTATAGTCATTCTTTTTTTTTTCTTTTTTTTTTTCAATGATTGGCCTTTGTGAAAATCTAAGAAGTATACTCATTCTTTTTCTTCAGTACATCGTATACTCATTCTTCTAGAGCAGCTTTATTAATTGCCAAATTCGAATATTGATAGTCGTAAGATAAATCAAAATATTTACATTTTATCAAAAAAAAAAAAAAGTGAATACATGTCATTTTGTACATAATAACTGAGAAAAAAAAATGTCAATAAAAATTAGACAAACCCCAAGTTTATTGTACACAAACAAACATTGCCAATAAGGGTGCATTTAGGACTGCAGTTTGAAGAGTTTTCTTCTAGCCGAATAGTGCTCTTAGATATATATATATATATATATATAAGTTTGATAATTTTTTTTAAACTACTTTTTTCAAAAACTATAGAAAACCATAGTAATTTCACAATAATTTTATATATAAAACTAGAAACTTCATTTTAGAGTTTTCTATCTATGGCTATCATAGAAATATCTAAATATTTAATACAATTACAAAATTACCATTAAAACTTAATCTTATTTAATTCAATTACACCACAATTTATAATATTTTATTTAAACATTACTTTTTATTTGTTTGAAATTTCATAAAAAATTAAAAACTCATTCTTTTTTTTATGAGTTGCTTTTTTGTGAAACCTAAAACAACACTCATTACAAGAAATTTAAAATTTTTAAATTAATAATTAATAAAATTTATCATATATCATCCACAATACTTTTAAAAAATAAATAATCAAACACCAAAATAAATTTCAGTTACAATCATAGTACAACACAGTTTAACACAACTATAATTACAATTATAACCACAACATCTCACAATAATCCCAAATGCACCCTAAATCATTGTGGTTAAAGCAATACTAGGCTAAAACTGCGCACCCTACAACCTACACTCTCCCCTCAAATTACATGCAATTGGTTTAAATAATATAGGATTTTTTAAACTTGTTTCTTGAGGCGTAATTAATATATATATATATATTTATATATTTATTTATTTATTTACATTAATTGATATTGAAAGTGGCTAAAATTGACATTTATTTTAAGGTAGTGATATAAGGACAACTTTTTTATATAATCTTTTTATATAAATTGTACATGTCATTAAATAAGTGGATTCAATCAATATTATGAGTTTTAAATGAATAAAGAGAGTCAATTATTTAAAGAACAAATAAAGTTATACTAAAAGGTGGTACAAACAAGTTGTTTCCAAGTCATTTTCTTTTATTTGATCACCAATGTTGTGTTGATCATTTTAATTGGATAATATAGTTTGGTATTTACAATCGAAGTGTCTCTGAATAGTTTTTGGTGTAAGTGAATTCCCCCACACTCTCTCTCTTTATATATATATATATATTGGTATTTACGATCAAAGTATTTTCGGTCAATTTTTGTGCATCTCAAGACTATTCCCTCTCTCCAAGTGATCTTAAGAATACACCCCCCACGTCAATTTGGTGCATTCAAGGAAATTAATTTTTTTGGGTGCTAATCTCAAGACTTGAACCATAAACATGACTTACAACATGACACTTATTTATCAATAGATCTAACCCTTGGGGTTATTTTGGTGTGTATATAACAAATGCCCATTTGCAATAAATCCAAACTTACAATACCCACAAATGAATGAAAAATTACAAACAATTTGTGTGTGTGTGTATATATATATATACACCTGAAAAAGAGAATGACATAGAAATAAAAAAATTTCCATCTATCCAAGTACTTACAATTTAAGCTAATATCTAATTAAGATTTACATATGAAACTGGTAAATATCACCACTGTAGAGCTTTAAAGTCAATTGTGATACACAATTAGAGATATTTAGGAAATGACAATATGTAGCCGAACCAGCAAAAGTATCCAAAAGATTACCCCAACTAACGATTCTCTTAGGTACAGGTAGGGTTCCAAACCAGACATCAACTCTATGTCACGTGCGATCATAGCTCGCCAAAACAAAATCATACCGCTGATTCCTTCGGTATTTGTATGGTGTGATGATAGATTTTTTGGCCAAAATATGCATAACCAAAAATGGAAAATCACATAACTGATTACTGCAATGAACCAATATTTATAATCAGCTATGAGATATACAGTAACAATAAGCGAAAGCATGCCTTGCACAACATTCACAACGATGAAAATCAAACCAATGGTTCCTTTAGTATTTGTAGAAGGCAATGAGTTATCTTCGCCATAGAACTTACGGATTCGGAGACTCCAAATCATGCTAACAATTACGTTAACTAACCAGACTTTGTAGTTGGAGAGTGAAGATTTGATAGCAGAACATATGATGAAGGATTGTGCAACATGTAAACCTACCAAAATCAAAATCATGCTGATGCCTGTGCTTTCAACTGTTGTATTTATAGAGGGATCTTGTTGCAAATCCAACCAGTACTTATCTAACCAGCTCTTGAAACTGAACAATATAAAACAGATGGAGGCAATTATCCATGTGGTAAACGTGAACTCAAAGCGGTTATAAGTAATGGATCCAATGACACCAATAATGAAACTAAACAACCCAAGATCTGTCCGTGGTCTCAATACCACTAGTAGACATAAAACAAACACTGCAATAAACAGCAAAACACTTATGGTTCTCAAGGAATCGTCATAAAATTTTGCAAAAACAATTGCTAGAATAAAGAAGGTGAAGTTTGATGTTGAATTTGCCACGCAGACGCACCTTCCATGGAGAATTCCTAGTTGACTCCAAGGCTTTGAATTTGTTAGCAGACCCATTCCAAAAAGCAACAATAATTGCGTTTTGGTCCCTTCTTTATCATATTTTGAACAAAACTCTGTATCTAGCAAAAGAAATGTCGCAAAGAACAAAGCAAGTTTACCAATCACCTTGGCCTTTAGCTGACCCTTTGCTACTTCGTTGTTGAGATGCATTTGGAGGGCTCTCGATAGATTCTTCATCTTCTTAATAATCAGATCTAGCACAGCTCTTATTGTTGATTGACAATAAACCTTGAGAATTTTCCATTGATTGCTCACCTCCTCTTCAATCCAATCATATAGAAATATTACTCCAAAGATTAGGTTGGTCACTGTCAATAGCGGATGAAACTTAACAACCAACCTCACAATCTTCACAATCTGTGGCACTGCTGTTGAATCTCTCATATCTTCCATTGGTGAGTAAGATGAGAAACAATTCGTAGCATAGGTTGTTTATTCCGATAAATTCTTCATCATTGGATATTTACTACTGGTTAAAGTTTTTTGCGGGACATGGATTGGTACTGGAGTCGGTCTTTCCTTGGACTTGGAATGGTATTGGGTCTTCTCTGGACTGCATTACTATCAGCATTGAAATTTAGCGTGAGTCTAGGTCATTCGAGGTGAGTTTTCAAAGTTGTCGGTCGACGTGGGCTTGGGAATTTGGGTCACTTGAGGAAGGTTTTCAAAGTCTGGGCCACTAATTTTTCGTGGGGTCTTACCAGGACTTTGATTAGTATTGGTATTTAACGGTTACTTAGCGTACCTCCTTTTCTCCCTACAAAGCCATGTTAATTTTGCAAATATAGGAAGATGGCTTTATCCAACGGTTCCGAAACCGAGTTATAACATGACAAAGTAAATAACCTATTTGGGTGGGAGTTGACTTGAGACTTGCATATATAACAGGCACTGTATAGAAGCACACCTACCGTGCCAAAGAGGTCGGAACAGAAAATCTCCCAACAACCACTCATATATGATAAGACTTCATAATAAATTGTCAAGGAATTTATATTTTAAAGTCTAATGTACATATATTAAAAATTCAATTTAATCTATAATTTATTAAAATATCTTTCTAGCACTGGCAATATATCAGTAATTTCGTTTGAGATTTCGTGCCGAACAGCCTGCATGTGTTTGGAGAAGTCAATTTCCAGAAAATCAGTTTTGGCTTTTCTCTTAACCAAAGTTTATTTCTGCCTTTCAAAAAAAAAAAAAAACGAAAGTTTATTTCAATCGACCCATTTTTTAAAGGGTTTTCAAACACTAAAAAATGTAAAAAGTGATTTATAGAAGTGATTTGCCCCCAACCAAATAAATCCTAAAGGTATATTTAGTTTAAAGAAAGCAAAGAGTAAAGGAATGAATTTTTTTATCAATTAAATTATAATATATAAAATATTATAATTTAATTAATTAAAACACTAATTCACTCCCCTTTTTTTCTTCAAACTAAATATATTAAAAATATGAAATGAGTGAAGTAAAAGGATTATAAGGATCTTCTCATATCTCATTGCATAACATAAAATTAAAATATTTTAAAAAAAATATGAATTAATAATAAAAACTCACATTAATTATGTGATATTAAAATAAGTGAATGTTATTTTCTGCATCATATCCGAGTAGAATAACATTAGTAATATTACTTCATGCAATGTTATAAGATTTATTGTCAATAAGTTTATTGTCAACAAACAAACATTGCAAACAAATCATTGTGGTTTGAGTCGATGTATTTTTGACATAATTTTAGAAGGATCATTGGATATTTTTATTGGTTAAAGGTTTCAGCAGAGACATCGATACGTATTAGAAGGTGAATTGGGTCTTGTGTGGAAGCACTTTTGACGTGGGCCTTCTGTGAACTTGGATTAGTACTACTATTGATATTGAAATTTGGCGTGGACCTTCAAAACCATCATTTAGCGTGCATCTGGGTCATTTGACGTGACGTCTTCCGTGGACTTGGATCAATATTATTGGTAGTAGAATTTGGGGTGGGTCTGGTTCATTTAAGGTGGGGGCTTCAAAGTCGTCATTTGTGTGCTTCTGGGTCATTTGACATGGGCTCTTCCGTGGACTTTGATTAGTATTGGCATTTGATGGTTACTCTCCTTAATTACTGACAATGAAGGTTTTTGTCGTTTCGATAATATTTTTCAGTATTTTATCTTTTAATTTTAGTTAAAATTTTATTTTGATCTTTTTATTTTAATAAAAAAATTCCTTTTTAGTCTTTTATTTAAGAAAATTATTTTTTAGTTCCTAAAATTTATTATTTAGTCCTTTTTAATACTTTTATTATTTTTTTTACACATGTGATACATTAAATGATAAAAAAAATTAAAAATAAATTTTTTAAGTAAAAAAATCAAAAAGAAGTTTTTTGTTCCTTTTTATTTTTTTTTATTTTACAGTTTACATTATTTAATGTGTCATGTATATAAAAAAATAATAGAGAGATTAAAAAGAAACCATATAATAAATTTTAGGGATTAAAAAATAACTTCTTGTTAAAATAAAAAAACTAAAAGAAGATTTTAATTTTTTATTTTTTATTATCCTAAAAAATATAAAATATTAATTAAATAAATATTAAATATATAAAATGTATTTTATATATTTTTAAAATATTAAAAGACAAAAAAAATATACAATTACAAATACAAATAGCATTGTCAAGGCAAGCCAAAGACAAGTTCTTTTGCCTCTTGTTTAAATGTCGGTCGCCGCGGCAATCGAATGCTTTTGCAAATTGTGGGATCATGGCTTTATGCAACAGCAAGTAAACAGATCAAGTGTTACAATATGTTTTAATAATGTATTTTTTTCTAAAATTAAATGCAATGAATTTGTATCTTTTAGTCCATGTTAGCACTTTTATCGGCTATATCATTGCATTAAGGAAATGATTTTTATACAATTTTTTTATCTTATTTTTTTATATAACATGACGTGTCATTAAAATAATTAGTTCTTTTAATTCACGTGAAATTCGTGATATTAAATGCATCCACTCATTTAATAATATGTAAAAGTTGTATAAAAAGATGATATAAAAATATTGTTCCTATAGCATCATGTCCACATAAGCAAAGGTGGGTCCCACACACACTAAGTCATCAATAACTTAACACCTTAGAGTTAGGTTTTACATAATGGATGTTTTTTTACATTATCAATTGCATTTGGGTTAATTTATTTTAATGAAAAGATTGGGTTGATTTATTTCAATATAATAATATAATAATTAAAAATATTTAGAAAAAAAGTAGAGCGATAGATTTTAAATAACTTAAAAAGTATATGGATTAACATACTTTTTTGCTTTATTTTCATTCACCCATCGACTCACTTTCTAAAGGGATTTCAAACACTAAAAAATGCATAAATTAATTTATAGAAGTGATTTGCTCCCAACTAAATGAATCTTAAGGGAATGTTTGGTTTTAAGAAAGCAGATGGCAGGGATGAATGTTTTTATTAATTAACTTGTAATATTAGAAATATTTTAATTTAATTAGTAAAAACACCTATCTCTCTTTTCTATTTCCTTCAAACTAATCTTGTAATGGAGACATGAGTCTAATTTAATTTTCATCTCTTAACTTAAGCAAAAACGTTTCTACAGCAAGAGATACTATTAACTGACGCAAAATGAAAGGATATGTTTTACTAGCTCTAGATAATATGCTCAAGTAATATTAAGGATATATTCTAAATTAACCTAATGCATTGAAAGAAATTAATGTTTTTAAAATACTAATTTTAAAATATCTTAAATCTAACTTACAAAATAATATTTTTAACCAGTAGAACAACCATCAAAGTTAACAGTTATAAGGTGTCCGAAACTCTATATGCAATCTTATATATATGCACCTAGGTTGACTTCATTGAACTGAGGGAAATTAACTGGCAAGATTATTTCTAGTTCTAGTATGTTTATCATTAATTAATCGATAAAGTCCATGGTTGCAGATCAAAAGAAAGCAAAACGTGGGTTTGTAACAATTCCAATTCGTTTGTGGGGTTTGAGGGGAAATGATAAAGTCATCAAAATCATGAAGTCAATATTGCAATTACATAATGGAACAAAGGCATGCAAGTAAAATTTGATCTCTTCTCCTTAAGGGGAATCGATTTCTCTCGCATTGTTCTTTAAGACAACTCACAGGGTCTTACAAACAGGGTCATAATGCAAGACATGTAATGCAAGGGCACAACCACTTGGAGGTTGGGTTAGGCATGAGCCCAACCCAAACTCAAAAAAAAAAAAAAAGAAATAAAATAAGAAATGAAAAGATTTAAGAGCAAGGTTGCAAATTAAAAAAACAAAAAAAAAAATCCCAACCATAAATTTATTGCTAGAGTTAAGAAAAAAGTCTGAGAGTTAAGGTTAAAAGAAAAAATGGCCCTGCCCTTAATTTCTCCCTAGTTCTACCCCTGAAGATGTGGGGTAATTTGTAGAGAATCCAATTTATTAGTATGTATGAATTAGACAATAAAAAACCATTCATCATAAAATAAGATAAAGGATTGCCATTTGATATCTATATAACAAAAGACCAATTACAATAAATTCAAACTGACAAAAACACAGATGACTGAAAGATTATAGATGATCAATGAGTTTTAGTAAGGATACTAGATATAAAAAACATAAACATGAAAAAGAAAATGACTTAGGAATTAATATCAAAATTTCCATAATCCAAGTACTTACTACTTAGCATGCAAGATTATCATCCTTCTTGTTGATGATGCACTGTTGTAAACAATTGGATCAAAGGTATGACTTCTGCAGTTGTCGAATATACCATCAATGCCCACCATGGTGGAGCTTTAAACTCAACTATGGTGAATTGTAACAGATCTTTGGGAAAGGACATACGTAACCAAACCCACCAAAGCACATAACAGATTATTGAAATTAACCATTCTTTGTATTGCATCTAGGGTTCCAAACCAGCCAACACCACAATATCGTATTTGGCAATAGATAACAAAGACCAAATCATGCCTATAATTCCTTTGGTATTTGTAGAGGGAGTTGACAGATCTTTAGGAAAAAAAGATTTGTACCCAAAAACAAAAAACAACATAACTAGTTAATGTAAAAACCCAATCTTTACAATTTGCCACGAGACATATGTTAAGAGCAAACCAGAAAATCCCTTGTGCAACATTTACAACTATCAAATTCAAACCGCTAATTCTTTTGTTATTTGTAAAGGGCAGCGAGCTATCTTTAGAATTGGGATAGAACTCAAAGAATTGGACACTCCAAAGCACATAACCGCTTATCTTAGCTAACCAGTTTTTATAATCAGACATGGGAGATTTGAAACTAGAAGTCACAAAGATGGCTTGTGTAGTATGTGCAATGATTGATGAAAAAGAAAAAACATGCTAGTGCTTCCGACTATGGTATTTGTAAAGGGATCTTCTTCCAAATCCAACCAGTTTTTATTTATCCAACTCTTGAAACTAAACAACACAAAATAG